GAGCTGGGGGCTGTACCACAGGAGCCTGGACAGTAGGAGCTGCAGAGGAGCTCGCAAAGTCTCCAGATAAAATATCCAGAGCATCACCCGTGTTCATAGGAGGCTGTCGAAGAATACAGTACATTCAGTTTAGATTAAGTTTTAACATTACTGCTCAAAGAGGATCAGTGAGATTAGGTATGTCATCTGGACCAATAACCTTTCCACACTTCATTCTCCTCAAATCTGCCCTCACCTTCTACTTACTAACTCCCTGTACTTTCTGATTAATCTATTGTACTACTCTTTCCATCTTCTCAGCACACTCTCTCCACTAACTAGTACATTTCCCTCACTATCCTTAACCAACCTGACCTGCTGAAATGTTCTAAATGTTTTGAACAGCTGTAGTTGGCTCCAGTCTCACCTCTGGTTTAGGAGCAGGCAGCTTCTCCAGTTTCTCCTTATCAAACCTGTATTCTGGAGGAAGTGTGTCCTCCCTCTCTCCTACACGAACCCCCTCCTCTTCTTTCAGTTTTCCCTCCTGTGACATGAGATGTGGAATTAAATATAATTGTTTACCGAAACTCCAACATTATTGAGGAAAGGTTTTGCTTTTACCGAAACAATGTCCTCTGGTTTCAATTCTGGTTGTTTAGGTTTGGGTTCATCTGCAGCCAAAGTGTCCCCCAGAGCACTGAGAGCATCCAGAGACATGGACATGTCCTACAGACCAAAGTGGAAAATAAAAAGTAAGTTATTTACATTCATGTGCACCAGAAAAATGTAAACTTATATAACATATACTGTAGTATCAACAGAAATTGAAGTGAACTAAAGGTCTATGCTGACTATGCTCCCAGCATCACCATAAACCTACAAAACCAAAAAAAAAGCCATTGTGTCTGTATGAACTGCAGGTATTAGTGCAGCTATTAATTCTTAGTTTTCATTACTTAAACACTTTACATTACAAATATTATCACCTCACCTCATCGCACTTTACCTCTGTGTTTGATTTAGGAACCACACCAGCCTTCTGAGGGACAGGGTCTGTTTCCATCTTGGCCTTTTTCTCCGCAGGAAGAGCAGTCTGCACTCACGGGAGGAACTGATTTCTAAAACAAACACAAGAGAAAATCAGACATTTTATACAAATTATCTACATTAAATTATTAAAAGACACAATCCTCTGTTTTTAAATCGAAGTCCAAACTTGAGCACGTCATTTGTGACGGTCCACCTTTCAATAACATGTTGGCCCTTCCTACTCATGCAGTACTTTTTTATGTGCATTATTTCTTGAAATGTGATCATTATTTACAAAAAATGTTGGCTTTTTTAACCCTATCAATGCTGTACTTAGTACTCCAAGTCAGTGATGACAAAATGCATGTTGTTCATCAGTCCACATCCACTGTCTTCTTCATATGTTTTAACTGATTTCAAAAAGAGAAAGAAATAAACTGCAGGAAGGATTCAATTTTTAAAAAACCTATCTTATGTGGATGCTACACTGTCAGCCGAAAGAGTTAGCTTGCAAAAAGAAGTGCCTTTATGTCATTATGCATGTTTTAATTTGGATTTACCTTGACAGGAGGTGGGGCAAAGTTAGCAGGTGCAGCAGAGGAAGCAGAGACACCGTCTGTAATGTCAGTCTGTATTATATGAAAAGAAAAGAGCAGGATGGAAACTGTGGCCACAGCACATGGTACGTCTCCGCCATCAGGACAAAATATTACAGTAAATTTAGTGCAAACAAGTTAGAATTTTGACCTCTGGTTTCTTGGCAGCTGCTGAATCAGTTGTCATAAATCCTGCTGATAGAGCTTCCAGGGCGTCAGTTGTGCTCAATGGTTTCTGAAAAACAAAAGAAACGAACAGACAGATAACAATTATCATCCATTTATGTTTGTAAAATTAAAGCTTCCTAAATTTCTCTGTAACATTTCTATTTTCAAAATCACTGCCTCTGTGTTAAAACACAACTCTGTACAAGAATTTCACTAATTGCTCTAAAATGTTTTTGCTAGAGAGCTGAATCAAATATTTCAGGCACCAGTGAAAGTACTCTGTTTGTGTAGCAGATCTGTGAAATCATAAATGTCAGCTTTTATATTTGTCTTAATTTTGCCATATAAAAATATAAAGTCTGCAAGAAAAAGTTACTTTACACCACTAGAGGGCGTAAAGAACTTGGGCAAAAGAAGAATTGCATGTGCCAACAGGGTAGGAAAACTGCAGACACACCCACTGCATTCCATCAAGACACAAAAAGTAAAAGAAAACAAACAATTAAGTTTAGGAGAAGTAATATTCCTTCATATCATTTTGTGTTGCTGTTGAGATGTAAAAACAAATGAGTGGGTGGACGACACCGTGGGAGGAGGCAGTGGCCCGAAGTTTAGGTGAAAATCAAAGTGTACTCCAGCTGTATTCTAGTCCAGGCTGTGTTATTGCACACCTTTTCTGATGAGACTCTAAGCAGCTGAACCTTAGCAAATAAATCCTGTTTGCTGTGACCACACCTACTTTTGCAGCAACATTCCTGTCTGTAGAGGAAGCTGCTGATCACAGGTCAGTGAACTTTCATCCTGTACATAAGTTTAGTCACTTGATTACATTTACTTCAAACGGTTTACTTGAGTTTTAACTCAAAGGGATTGCCAAGGTTTTTGCAGAATGAACTTAACTTAAATTACCAAATATATGTGGATGGAAAACTGGTTGAGTTTTATTTATACCATTCACATAAGGACTGTCATTCAAAGTTCAGGTTTTAGTTTAATTTTTGTGGTACAGTTTCAGATTTGAAGGATAAAATGACAGAGACCAGTACAAAGCTGCAGTGATGTACACAAACAACTATGTAAATACTAAAGTAGCCAGAACTGCAGCTCATTGAGCAACCACTATATATATATAAATATCTATAAAATTCAGACTTTAACAATCCCATGTTAGGCTGTGATGTGCAGTTTTTTTAACTCTTTATACTGTGTGTCTTGATTGTCATCGATCTGCACCTGGTTAATTGAACTTATTTGTAAGAGGTTGAAACTTTACTTACAGGAACATCCTTAGGTTTTTCATCTGCTGGAACTTTAGGCTAAAAAATACACAAAAGATATAGAATGTCAACTAATGACAAGGAATAACTATCAGACTAACTGCTAACAGGTTTGTGTAATCCCATTTGGTGAGCATTCTCATTGGTCACTGGGTGCTGAACTTTGCAAGAAAAGTTAAAAACAAGTATTTTTTTAAGATGTACATTTTTAATTATCTTATTTCAAAAACTTTTAAAGTCTTTGAAATTACTATTTTTTGTCTAATGTATTGCATACATTTTTATCACAAGTCAATAAAAGGATGAAGCACAGATGTCTAGACAGGGAAGAACTGACCACATCAGTAAATCTGTATCCAGGAGGCAGAGTGTCTTCCCTCTCTCCACATTTCTGACCTTTCTCAGGGGTGATGTTAAGCTGGGATACATGCAATACACACAGTGGTTAGTCACACAACATTTAGCTGAAGCTAAAAAAAAACTACACTTTATTTAATCATTAACACTGTGGGTGTAGTTACTCAAAGTATTCAAGTTCAAAAAACATAAACCTCTAGATTTCAGAGAAAAAAAAGATTCAAAAATAGCTGTATCATTTTTTACTTCTAATCTTTCTTTGTCTGTTTACCTCTTCGACCTCTGGCCCAGTGTAGACGGGCTGTTCAGGAACTAAAGTGTCTACTGATGGTAGACTGCTGGCCAAGGCGTCAAATGGATCCACTTCAGGTGCCTGAACATGCAGATCTAATTAACACACACTGATGCACGCAACATGCATCTTACAGCACAGCCAGAACATCGTGATACTTCAGCCTTTACCTTGTTTGATTCAGTAGATGCAACGGGAAGAACTTCCACCTTCACCTGCAGAAGGACACACCCACAATCAGCTGATGTTTGACATGGAGCAGATGACAGCAGTGGTAATAAAAACACCATTGACAGATTATTGATACTGTATAATTTCCTATTTTTCAAATGCCTAAAGAACTTTAACCAAAAAAAATTGAAATTGGAATTCAGTAAAACATTAAAATGTTTCACCTGAAAAATTACTTGGGCCGTAAAGTGTTGTTCCTCTGTCAACTTAATATTATATATTTGTTTAGATGTATTAGATATAAATTGGAAAACTGTTGCAAATTGAGTTCAATACTTATTCAATTGCCTTTACTCATGTTACTCAATGTTTCAGTTCATTTTAGGTTATGTTGGTGTATTATTTCACACTTTGAGATAACTCTTAATGGCTTTGGGCTTTGAATTATTCCAAGATAAATTACTTTTCTTGTTATGATAAGTCATGTCCAGGCTTATCCTCAGATATCACCATCGTAAATCTTCACTCATTTTTTATTTACTTCAACTAGCTTCATATTACTCACGCTAGTTTTTTAGGCTAACTTTCAGCAGATGAAAATGTGTAATCCAAAGACAGCCGACAGCAAGCAAACAATGTAGGAGGACAAGCCAATCAGACATCACTTAACATACATGGTATTGTCTTAGCATGTACCTTTGGTTCTGTATCTTTAGGTTGTTCCTTCTCCGGCACACTCTGTGTTTCAGCTTTAGACACATCTGCCTTGACTGTTGTTTCCAATGTGCTCTGAAATACAAATAGAAATACAAATGAACCCTTTGTACTGTTTACTGTGAGTCAAGTAAATTCCAACCAAATCTGAAATGAAAGACAGGACAGGAAAAAGGGACATTTTGCCTTGCATTTGTTCTGACAGATTAAAAGTTTTTTCATTTGATGCAAAAGTGATGATGGAAGTGGACACTGTAAGAAGATTCAATGAAAAGCAGCAGCAGTTTGAGCAAAAAATGTCACAATAGAAACAATATGATTGAAATGAATGAGCAAAGCAAGCCACAAAGGTTCACCTCCACAGAGAGTCATGGAAATCTCATATTTATATTTAACATCTACAGTACCTTGGCTGTGCCTTTAGGTTTGCTCACAACAGTGACTGCTGCTGTCCCAGTAGCAGCAGAGGTTGCTTTGGCTGTGGCCTTGTTTACAGAGGCAGGTGTAGTCTACAAACATGCAGCCAAAAGATTATTCAACCAAAACAAAGAATATATTTGTTTGCTTTAAGAACTAAAGACGATTTATTAATTAATCTTCTACTGCTTGATCCTTTCCAGGGTTGTTGGATTTCAAACCCCATCAGACATTGGGTAAGGGCGGGGTACACACTGGACATTTCCCCAGTTCATCACATGTAGAGACATAAAACCACCAGCACCAGCCTTCAGACCAAGGCTTAAATTTAAGAGTCCAGTTAACCTTGTAGTTCATGTTTTAGAAGACATAATAAACAATAACAAAGGTGTATGATTTGGTTAGACAGGATGTCAACAATCATCTGACACAGAAACCATTTACTGTGCGTTTCCCACAAACATGTGACTGATCAAGCTCACAGAAGCCATCGCCCATAGTGTCATAAGAAAGATTTTAAAAAGCAGAACAGATTATGACATCACTAGTTTGTTGTTGTTGTTGTTGTTATAAATAAACCTGACACCAATGCGTTGACCCTGAGGACAGCAGTCCTTATTTTAGACATGTACTTACATTTATCCAACACGACATATGTGAATATAATTAGAATCTGTCAGCACGGTGTTATTACTGATTTCGTAAGCTCCGTAACGTCTGATAGAAAACAAACTCTGCAACATGGCTTTAAATAAAGTAAACTGTCTGCAGTCAGTCTTTTGCTTTGATGCATTTGATGCATACAGGACATTTAAAAAAAAATCACAAGGCCTGGTTAAAATACCAAATAGGGTAAGTCTTGGTGTGTGTTAAGGTGTTCAAAAGGTGTTCTTTATTCAGCACAGTCTTATAACACTAATGCTATTTTGCAACAGGGTCTTGCATTGTTTGGTGCTCAGGTCTTATTTATCCAATCCAACTTTATTTATTTCATTAATGACGAGCAGCCAGAGCTCAAATCCTGATTAATACGTGCCAAGTAGGAGTCACGAGATAAAGCACAGCCAAGGAAGGTGGCAGAGAACTCTGTAATATTTTGCAAGATTTTAAGAGGACTTAGCCAGTGAAAAGGAAAGGTGAGCTGATCTTTGTTTTGCAAGTGTTTCAACCAAAAGAAGAAAACTGTGTCTTCTTTTACAGCATATCACCAGCCAGCTAAAAGGCCTCAGCCAGAATATCTGTCTCTACCTCTGGTTTGGGTGTGGGAGCTTGATTCACCACTCGCCCAACCGCTGCACTCCCTGCTGCTGTGACACCACTTCCTGTACTCACTCTGGGCTTTGTAGCCATGGCCGATCTCGATGATGATTTCTGCTGAAGATGCATTTACTCATTAGTTCACTACGTAGGTTAAAAAGGTGCAATGTGGTGTAAAATGGTGGCACGTGTACTGATTGTTGCAGGGAATGTCTTCAATGCATAGATTGTTGGCAGGAAATGGACACTGGGTGCTAGAACCTGATTAAAAAAAGTTCCAATATGTTCTTCACTACTGTGTCGTTGCTCATATGTTAAGTTTCTTCTAACATAACCCACAAAAAAATACACAACATGATTTGTACGTGGACATGTACTAGGGTCCAGTTTACCCGAGATATGGCCCAAAGTTTGAGTAACTGCAAAGCTTAGTAACTGTGTGGTGACCACATTTACAATGTGGATAAATGTTGTTCTGTCACTAATAGAAGAACGTTTACTATCAACATTGCAGTGCAGGGTAGGTTCTTCTTTTGTATCCAGACTGCTGGCAAAACTCTAACCAACATGTGTGGCCAATCACACGGATTACACCAATGTCTGTGCCAAGTCTTCAGTTCATAACATATTTCTACTGTCAGACACTGATATACTCTTATCATAACACTCCTCCCTGTGGCTCCCATCGTCTGGACTGAGAGAAACAGGATATTACAGATGCCTGTGTGGACAATATTGTCATTTTAGACTAGCTGAGATACACAGCATAACTCCTTGAGAATTGGTTTGTGTGGCACAGTAATTTAAAGGGTAACCATTCAAGAGTCAAAAAGGATGGTCTTAAAAGGTGTCCACATAGGTTAGCTTTGTAGTTACCTGGCTTTATTCACCAATAGCAGGACAATAATAATAGACTGTTATTTACTACTGACAGAGCTCAAGAAAACAGAGAACAAAAGTTCTGCACACCTTCTCTAATTAACCTCCACTGAAACAGAAGAAGCTATACCTAACTACAGAAAAGCCAACTACGTAGCATGAGGAGGTCATAAAGGTCAGCCGTTAACACGACTCACTGTGTGTGTGGCTGAAGGTTAATGGTTGACTATGTTACAAATCTTTGAATTTAAAACATTTTTACTGAAACCCAGGGTTAAATGACTGTTACTGTGGCCCTTTTTCACAAATGTAACATCAGTTTCAAAGTAAACTTAATCTTTTGCAGTGGTCGTACGCTACAAATGATAAAAATGATTCCCATCCTCCATTACTTTTCCTAAATTGCTGTTTCACCTCTTCTCTGACACACATTTTCACACTGTGTCTTGCTTCTGCTAATGTTTGATTATTTTCCACCAGTGCAATTTCCACCCTCGCCATTGAGGGAACACTAAACTTGGATATTACATTTATAGAGTAAGAGTAACCAGAATCTCGACAACAGCTTTCACTGTTAGACAAGAGAACCTGTTGTCTGTTGGTTTTGATCCATTGTTTCAACTTCAACTTCACACTGACTGGGAAACTGGGCGTTTCCTTTACATTTGAATGGAAGGAAAAGGAACGTTTTCTTTTCAAGAGGTAAGAATGTATATAACAGTAGAGTACTATGGTGCGGTAAATCCACAGAGAAAGTGAAGTGAGAGGGTAAGAGTAATTCTTTGAAAAGACAGAGAGAAGATTGTGAGAAGAATGGGAATATATACCATATATTCCCATATATTTATATATAATATTGCTGAGAAGTGAATCATACCTCAGCCTCTGAGGATGTTACAGTTGAGACCTGAGCAGCTGGTTCAGGTGTGGCCTTACTGGACTGCGACTGAGAAGGAAAAAACAAACAAATGGTAAACATGGTATGTTAAATGAAAACCAAACATATCTCAAAATTTAAATTACAATCTTGATAGTACAAGCAGATCTGAAAATTAAATAAAAATATCAGGTTTAAAGACAACAACATACTGTAGGAAGGTGATACAGAAAGCAGTCAGGATTTGGTGATTTCTGCCCTATAATTAAACAACGGTCTTCCTAGAAAGACACCAAAATGTGTTCTCTTCTGGACCTAACCCTATGTCGCATGTCTCTTTGCAGGTAGTTTAAACAGAATTTATTATTTTCTGTGAGGTGACACAGACAGGTCTTTTAAAGCAAAGACAGACGTAAGACAACAAGCAGAACCCTCTGCACCAATGGGTGTGAGAATAAAGTGTGAGAATGTGAAGCATAAAGGACATGTATTATTGTGCTAATTGGTCACCACGGTAACAAACAAAGCCACATGAGGCACTTTAGAGAAATAATTTATTTTACTTAAGTGACTTCAGAGTGAGAGAACTGGACTAAGAACTGGAAACGACTATTTGCAAGCCATTATTTCTTATTAGAATTTAGTGGTACCATAGTGTAGCGGTTAGCATGCCCGCCTTGGCAGCAGAGAGCAGATAGTCCTGGGTACGGGCAGCCTATTGCAGCAGATCTGCTGTCAATACAAGAATTTTCCAAGTGTGGGATCAATAAAGTTTGAATTTATAATTTGTATTTTTTTATTTAAAAAAAGCTTTTTCATGATTTTTAGTTTTTTTTTTTATTTAAAAAAAGCTTTTTTCATGATTAAGATTTTTAACCACAAATGTTGGTTTACTATTTATATTTATTAAATACCTATTAATAGTTATAAAATCTCACTTAGTCCTCATCTGTAGATAAACAAAGACATTTCCTGTATGAGTTCATGTACATTACATGTCTGCAATGCCAGTTCTTTTCAAGAGCAAAGCCCAACCCTGTTCTTTGAGTTAGAGCACCAGGCCTCCACCGCACTGATAGCACAAGTCAGTGCTATCTCAATATCCAGCTATGTGGTTAGTGACTAAAGGGTCATTAGGGCTAAGGTAGTCAGATACATTTGTATAACGTATCAGCACTTTGAATTACTGACTAATTTCCCATAAAATACATCAGTAAGCATCAACTGGCGGCCTGCTGGCCAAAACTGATCAAAGAGAAAATATCTCTCTGACAAATACACCAACGTTAGTGACCCCTGCAGACATGTTTGCAATTTAGTCAGTGAGTGAGTTTAAACATTTCTCTTAGTTTCTTACAAAATACTTCTGTGTGAAACTCAGTTCAACTAAGTTTCATACAAAAACACACATGATGAAATTATACAGTGAAAGGAACTCTGAATGACGGTCCAGGGTCAGCAGGGACAGAGGTGGCAGACAGGACAAGGACAGTGAAGGTAGATATTTTGCATGTTAAAGACAACTGGTTGAAAGGGAGTGAGACAGGAAAACTGGGGGTGAGTGCAGACTGACTGTTACGTAGATAATCTTTGACTGACAATGTTAGTACGTAGATAATCTTTGACTGACAATGTTGGGTGTTAGCCTCTGTGTTTCAGAGATGAAACATGTGTTGCACATCTTTGACAGTCTGTGAAGGAGTGGTATGTAATTCCTCTGAGACACGCTCACATGGTGAACTGAAGCACTCTGCTGTAGTCTGTTTGGAATTTGGGCCATTTGAAGTGGAAATCCATAGTGCTATTTACTGTTGTTAAGTTCCTGACAAGAACACAGCATCTGTGACGGTATAGATATCAGAAAGTAAGCATGACAGAGTAGATTATGAAGGGAGAGCTGGTAGACCAGAGCGTTTCAAAAAATAAAATAAAATATGTGTATAAATATGTATAACTATAATTCTATACTGTGTAATAGTGATCATGCACTTTATATAAATATATATATATGTATATATATATATGTATATATATATATATATATATATATAAAATACAGAATAGGTATTTTTATAATATTATATATATGTATATATATATAATACAGAATAGGTATTTTTATAATAAATAGAGAGTGCATGCCATGTTCTGTTTATAAGAGTAAACAAATGTATTTCATGTTTTCCACTCAGGTAGATTAGCAGGTGTATAATAACAGTGTAACCCAAAGTCAAAAAGTGTGAACACCCCTTACTTAGGGAATCTGCACAAATAAAGTTATTCCAAATACAGAGGCTTACGTGGGAATTTAATGGAACATATGCTCAAATCAAGAGGATGTCTCTCCTCAGGAACTTTAGGAGAGCTCAGCAAAATCCCAATACAAGACCTTGTAGACATACAGTCTGTGTGTCCAGCTTGTATCTTTGCAGTTTTTATTAATGTCGTCTACCACAGACTGGTGAGCAGCTCTTGTCATTGGTATAGCAATTTTAAAATCTGCTTAAATACATGGAATGCAATCTGCAAATTAGGTTTCTTTCCCCTTAATTCATCCATCAGTGTCATTAGTGGGTCGATGCACTAGCTGCATGCATTTCAATACAAATAATATTGTCAGCATAGCACTGCACCTACACACCTGGTGCAACTGAAATGTTTTTTGAAACGGTTACGAAGCCTACAGCTATATCTGTTTATACATGTTTTTGCTGAATTCAAAGCACTAGAAGAGCCCTAATCTGACAAATGAAAATTGACAGCATTATATTTAGCCCTCTTTTGAGGTAAGCGTAATCATTGATGTCCTAAAACCCGTTTGAACAAATAATAAAACATTGGTGATGTAACAGCAGTTTAAATTATCAAAGGGTAGCAAGAAAAAAAGATAACATTCGCAGACCATTCACTGTTTTTTAATGCATTTTAAACCTACTGAGAGTTGGGAACGTTGACTTGACAGAATGAGAGGAAATGGCAGAGCGGAGAAAATGAGGTCACTGACTGTCACCAGTGAAGACAGTATCACTCTGGTACCGCAATAAATATTGATTGTCTCTAAGGAACTCAAAGCAGCAGTGATATTGGGCCTGTGTTTGTAGATGTTACAGATGATTCTTTTTAAGAATTTCATTTTGAGAACTTGAATTCAATATTAAAATTTCTCTTCTTAAGAAAAAGAGAGGAAGACAAGTTTTGTGGTAATAATCAGAAATATTGGTGAGTAAAAAGTGTTTTGTTTAATAATAATAATAATAACAATACTATTGTAATAGTTTTATGTCATAAGGATATGATGCACATTTCCAGTGAATAGTTTATTGCAAAACATTGGCTCCTCCTGTGATTTTTTTTCATGACTAAAAAAATGTCAATGATGTCATCAGTGAGTAGTCGATGTCGACTTGACTGTAATTAAATTTGACTCCAACTCGTAACTACTGATGTCGTGCAACATCTACATCTACTGATGATATGCTTCTGCTTTTGTAGCATTTTCTTTTTTCTAATTTTTTCTCCAGTAAATCCCTGCAAAGGTAAACAAGTTGTGCAGTGTGTTTTCTTTTTTAACCACCTGCTAGTGCTAGGTCAGCACTACAACAGTATCTGATTACGTTGAGCCTTAGACCTTCTATCTTTGTTAAAAAACAATAACATCTATTAAATCAACCATAGATTAAAATCTACAGATTATTCAAAAGCTAAATCTACAAAAATACAAACAGCAACAGCATCCAAGGAACACCAGATTTTTAGGACCAGTGTTCTATTTTTTAAGTAATTTTCAAGGTGTGCACTGGAAAATTATATAATAGTAACCTAGGAAAGATAATTGGACAGCAAGATACGTTGTAGACCAGATAAAACAGGATACTAAAGAAACAATTCAGGTTTCCACAACACATCAGAACTTTGGCATGCACTGAAGACACAAGAAACAGAGGTACGGCAGCAAGGCATGGCCTTGTTTGTGTATCTGTTGAATGTAAGAGACAATAAAACACATCAAGAACATATTCAGCAATAGTCCTTGGAGGAGTAACTCTGTCCTGCTTTGAAAACCGATGACTAATACTTGGTCCCACCCTCAAACCACAGACATTCACATGTGAACTCAGCTAGGGATTCTTTAGAGCTGTTGTTCCAGCTCTCACTGGTTTTAAATAGCAACTTGACTGACCACTTATGACAGTATGGGTCACACGGGTGGGAAATGGCTAAAGCTGCCAAATGTGTTATGAGGTTCTGAGACTGCGGGTCAGCAGTGTTGGTGTTAGTGTTGTTGTTGCTGTTGTTGTTAGTGGTGATGATGTTGGTGTGTAACAATAGTACGGGAAGCTGCATAAAGACAGAGATGATTTTACACACACACAAAGACCTGTGTCATCTGAAAGACTAAGGTATAACTAGGTCTAATTTCCCCTACTGACATACTTATCCAAACTATACCTTAAAAACAAAAAAATGTCACATTGATGTTAGAGCAACAGCAATAAAACATGTGAAACTGTATTTTAATTGTTTTAGTAACTAGTAATGAACTGACAAACCATAGCAAGTCTAAAAAAAAGTCAGACAACTACCATTATGAGAGGCTCCCAATTAGCTCAGATATACGGAAAATGCTAAATCTATTAAGTAAAATAGATTTTGTATTACGATTTTATATTAAATAACCAATGTTTAACAAATTTGCTTGGCTGTAATTGCAAAACCCCTTTAAGGCACTACTGATGTGAGGACTTGGAATATACAGTGACAGAGACATAGGGAAACAAATTCCTGGAAACTTTATTTTTAAACAGGGCAAAGTAAGGCTTGATTCTGCACAAATTTTAATATGGCTCTGTAGACATTCACTGTGTGTGATTGACTGGACTGTCTGCAGCCCAGATCTGTGTCCTGTTAATACTCATTGGTCTTCCTAAGGAAGAGAAGTAGACGACAAAGACTATGGGCTAAAATACAACTTACAAAACGGCAGCGATGAGGGGAGTCAAAAGGGGCTGTGACTCAGTCTTAATCCTGTCCTAATCACACAGCGTAGCTAAAAAAGTGGGATGATAGTC